AAAAGTACTTTAAACCGTATAAATAATGTAAAATTAAATTGATTTAAACAGCCAATCATACGAATGTCTTCCTATGAATATAGCGCAGGATCTTTTTGAAAAAGCTTGAATACTACATAATATCTTCTAAAAGTGGACAAGATAATGCCATGAAAAACAACTAGGCTATTGTCGGTCTAAAATTAAGCAGAATTAGATTAATGAGTACAAACGATATGACTAGAAAATAGTATAATCTAATTTATGGGTCTTTGCGTAAAATAAAAATACGGTATTTTTATATACTGTACATATGTTTATCAGTTATCTTTCATTCATTAAGGTAGGGTCGGGCGGGAGGTATTTTGACGCACTTACGTTTTTTGATGATTTCTTGCGATACACTGGTTAGAATCAAACAATTTTAGTACCATTCGATTCGTTTTACTGAGACGAATCGAATGATACAAAAATTAATCAATTCTGATCAAGACTTGAGGGAAGGTTAGACGTTATTGTGTAGTTCTTACGTTATTTTCTCTTTTTTCCTATCTGAGAAAGAGCTAGTGTAAATAAATTTAGATAATTAACACTGAGGTCTAATCGGATAAGTATAGTGCGTCAAAATACCCCAAACAAAAAAAAGCATAGGCTTTAGATAGCTTTTTGAAGTTTCGAATTTCAAGGGTTTTTTTTAAAATTTTTAACTTGTCGATAGAATTAAGTTTAGTTTAATAAACTTTAGGAATAATGTATTTTCTTGGGGGCTTTTACTATTAGCACTTTTAGGTTCGTCATAATACCCGACCTTACCCTATGTAGGAGAATATGGTATTAAAAGGTTCAAAAAAGTAGCGTTAGTTTAAATTGAAGCAGCTTTTCCTGCATTATATGTTAGCACTAGTTTTCGAGATGTATAATTTATAAAGTCATTGCGAGTATGACTATTGGGGGTTTCACATATTTATTGCGGGTTTTACATATCTATCGCGGGGTTTTACATGTCTATCGCGGGTTTTACCAAAAATCATCACGGATTTCGATTTTTAAAAAGATTCTTGGCCAACTAATCGATTGCACTTTTTGTTCCGATTTGTAATGCTTATTTAACACTTCGAATAAAGAATATCGATATTTGATACATATACAATATTAAAGAATTTATGAATATACACATTTCTAACTCTTATTTTATACACTATCGCCATACATTACTCGAGATCTGTGTAACGACCAATAAAAAATAAATAACGATAAAAATAGTCAATTGACGTTAAATAAACATCGCTTTTAGCATTAACGTAATGGCGTCTAAAGAAGAACTTAAGAAACGAAAAACTTATCTACAAATTGCGGGGTTTGCGTGCTCAAATTGTCACAAAACAAGTAGAGAAGACGGAACTAGTTCACTTTTACGATGCACACGTTGTCGTATGTCTTATTACTGTTCGAAAAGTTGTCAAAAAGCTGACTTTTTGTTTCATAAACAATTTTGTGCTGCTATCGAAGAGCTTAGCAATCTTGAAGAGGTTTGGTATTCATGTAATGGTAAAGAATCTGAATGGAACAAGAGAAAAATTTATCATATGCAACTGTTAGTAGCGGCGCTTGATAGAGACTTAACTAGTTATGAGAGCAATGCTTGGTTAAATCAGCCAAAGTGTCACGTCTGTTTTAGAACCTCTCGTGACTTAGAAAGCCGTTCGGCGTTAATACCATGTACGAATTGCCACGTTGTCTTTTGTTGTTCTAGCGAGCATTGGGAACAACACCGATCGAGGCACAAATCTTTATGTCAAACTTATCAAATTATGGTTCAATGCGAAATAATGAGGTGATATTTCATTTCATTATATATACAGAAAATAAGCATCACACCCTCTACCCTACTTTTTTCAATCTCAGATTAGCAGAAGTAACAATGAAATCTTTACTGAAGTTATTCCCACTAATCTGAAGTTGAAAAAAGTAGAGTAGAAGGTGTGGTGCTTATTTTTTGAGTTTTACGGTAGTTATCATATACTGAATAATGCCAAAGTATACATCTCTAATTAATTTCGGACCAGTTGGTGTAATCCATACTCGTGATTATAAGAAATAGTGTTGCAGATTTTCGGCAAATCAAAATGCATTATGATAACTAAGATATGTTACTAATTGTTGAAATATTTTATTATATACCGATTTCGTGTGATTAGATATCAGGGCACTTCGGAAACATTGTGGGCTCCTGAAGAATGGGATGAAGGTTTAATTTATCCACCACTCCCAAAAGATTGGAGTTCTTATTGGAAATGGAGAAAGGCACCACCACAATTCAATCAACTTGATGCTGTGCGTAGAGTAATAACTAACTCTCTATCACTCCCACTCACAATTCTATCTGCTTTGGAAAGATTTTATTCACGTAGTCAATTGCGTTCTTTTGACGGCTTGGTGATTCATCTAATAGGTGCTGGTAAATATGAGGTATCAGCACTTATGTCCTTCGAAGAAATTATGCATATACTCCCAAACATAAGAACACTACAACTCATATTGATTGGAATAGAATTATCTTCAAAAACTATGGGTGTTTCTCTACAATGTTGCCCACGTTGTACTAAGGCTGATCGAAAACGCATTTATTCATTACATCCAATATCGTATCATGAATATTCTGCCTCTGATGATTTCATTACTCCCCAAATTGTCGTTGGTTTCAATATTGGCCTATATGATGAATTTTGGAAACCATCGGTTGAATTTTTAATAGAAAAAGAATTACCTTGTATATTCACTTCTTATTCCAAAGATGAGGCAAATCAAGATGCTAAAATGCTGAAGACTTTAGGTGCAAAGATTATTGTAAGTGCTAACGAAAATAAATGGCGGAGTACGATGCCACTTGTCGAACCACAAGAAACGGATAAGTTTTATTATAATAACTATTATAGAACATTACTAAAAGGGAGGCGTGAATAAGTTTATTATAGTAAACATTCTCTGATTTTGAATCTTGTCGACCATTGTTAATCGAAAATTATTCTATCGAATGGTGGAAATGGTTAATTATTAGAAAAAATTTATTCACATTAACCGAAGTTTATTAATAAAGGATAAGATAAAATACGTGAATGATCCTTTACTGGTTTTGGCAAAATATTAATATTAATTCTACAAGGATTAAGGTTGAATATTTTTTTTTGTTTGAAAAACTTTTTTTTTGCATTTATCGAAAAAAATAATAGATAAATATAAACGCAACGATTATAATAAAAACTAAGTAATAAAAAAATTGGCTATCTTGTGATCTGGCCATTATTTTTAGTCGAGTCATAGTACCGTCAAGAAAATGGCCTGTTCGTGAATATTCATCAGACTTTTCAGCAGATATTAAATTAATTTTTATTACAAAATATTTTAGATAATAAAATAAATAATAAAAATGTAAAACTTACCATTGAGCCTATGATAGAGCTGGACTCTTTTACAACTTCACCAATGTTCAAAGTAATCTAGGATCATTCAATTAATTCAAAAACTTAAATAATTGATTGAAAATTTGTCTTAAAAACATGAATTTCGGTAGAAAGTACGAACCTCTTTTAATATTTTTACTTTACTGGTCAAACCTTCAATCTTTTCATCGTTTTGATTCTCTAGATCTAAATGTGAATTTGGAATTTGGACGCTGCTTCCTGTCGTTTGAGCGCCAGCAAACAGTTCCGATCGAGTGAGACGTTTTGTCATGCCTTTATTTTTTTATTTTTTTTGAAAGCGAGGCCATACCCTCTGTACCTTTATTAATATTTTTAATTAGGATAAATGTCATAGGACGAAATTCGTTTGATTGGCTGATGTAGATCAATTGCCCGGGTAACTTATTTATATGCTTTAGAGTACTTTTTTAGAACTCAAGTGTTACATGCTAAAAAAATGAAAAGTTTTGCATAAATCGTTTCTCTCAAGTGTCAAAAGACTGCCTTTAAAAATAATTAATAATCTCTAATTTAAGTTGTGTTAGTTTAGTAGCGACTTTTTGAAATGGCAAAGAAAAAAAGAAGGTAATTTTAAAGTACTTTTTCAAAACTGAAAGTTTCGTTTAAGAACTTCATTATATTATATTTAACATAAACTTTGCTTAATTAAATAGGTACAAGTTCTTTAGCAGTAAAAGACGCAGGCTCTTTTAGTATAGTTTGGGATTATTAAGTGTAAAATTTTTAGATTATATCATATATTGTAGATTCTTTAATGAGTTCGGGTTTTTAGTACAGTAGTAATAAATATTAAATTTGCCACACTTACGTGTCCCTATCTATTTTCTAAATATGTGGTTAATTCTTTTGCATGTATTAGTTGGTAAATTTCTTTATGGATTTTTTTGTCGTTTTCTAGTAGCATTTAATTGTCCAATTTTTAAACATTATCAGTCATAGGACATGTCTATATATAAAAGTTTGGATTATAAATTAAATGAGTTGACTCACCCCAATTTTATATGTAAATTTATGCAAAAAAATCATTTAAATTTAATTTTTGTAAAAATATACATA